TTATATATATAATTTCATGGTCTCCAAAATAGTGAGAGAAGGAGGGAGCTGCGTGTTCTAGGCAGCTATCAGTGCTTGTAGTTGGGGCTTGGGCACAAAACCTAGATCACCAGTCAACTCCGCCTGGACCTTGGGCAGGAAGTGGAAGATTTGATGTAGTGGGCTTCTGGCTGTGTCCATGCGGGGGGGGGGGGTGTTTGTGGCAACACCAGTCCCAGAGACAGGCAGCACTTCCACAGGGTCAGGCGTGCAAGCTGAGGCTCGGTGCTGCAGTGGTGGCCGGGCAGCATTCTGCAGCCCACTTCTGGGGCCTCGGGCTGGGAGCGATTGCTGCTGCAAGGTGGCTGTGCTGGCTTCTGCTGCCCTTCTCTCTCAGGATGCTTTGAATACATTCCTTTCTGCTAAAATCCATCGACTTGTTTCTCCAAGTTCACCCAGGCTTCTGTATCTTCCTCAGGTCTGTGTTTTATTTTTTGAATGATACGCCTTTCCATCTAGTATCATCCATAATGGTAAACCATCTAAAAAGCAGCATGCTAGTTTCTTCTCTCTTTTCTTTCTCACTTAAAAAATTTCTTTTTGATCATGGAAATGTCCCCAACTTACACACAAGAGACGACTGCAGTGACTTCCTGAAACCTATTTTACAGTTCCAGCAGTTGATCATTTAAAAAAAATTAATTTGGTGATCGACCTTTATTTATTTATATGTTGCTGAGAATCAAACCCCGTGCCTCGGACATGCCAGGCAGGTGCAGTTCCGCTGAGCCCCAGCCCTGTATTTTATTTTTCAACTTTCTTTTCAGTGACTCTTTGGGAATAGAAAGAGAGGAGAGAGAGTGATTCAATGACAACTCCAAGACCTCACATCATCTCACCCATAAATACTTCATCAAAATAGTGAAATTTACTGAGCATCACTCACTGTGTGCAGTCCATATCCAAACTCTCTCTTTTCCCCTGAGATTTTATAACTGGTTTACTCAAATGAGGCTCCACATACATTTCCACATAATGTACTTAAGGACTATGTCTCTCTTTCCCCCCAAATTTACCATTTATTGATACATAATTCACATACCCAATAGACCTCTTAAGTCTCCTTTAGCCTGTAACATGCCCATTCTTGCTTCTCCTTGTTTCATGCTATTCATTTTTAAAAATCATTATTGTTATTATTATTGTAGAATTTCTGGATGTCTTGTAGAATTTATACATCTCTGGTCAACTGAATGCATTCATTGGTGCTGTTATCCTGTTCCTCTCACTCATTCTTTTCCTGTAAATTGGAGGTTAGATCTAGGGGCTTGATTACATTCAGTTTTCATGGGACTTAGATTTTTCCCCTCTCTTTTTCTTTTTGGAAGATCTAGCTTCGTCACATCTCCAGGAATTCTTCCTCACCACCCACCCTCAGGGTCTAGTGTTGCTCTTTTGAGCAGAGTTACCTGTCTTTCCTGATGCAATGCCTTACGTGTTACTTTTTCTTGGTGCATATTAATTATACAGAATGGTGGGTGTCACTGTGGACTATTGGTACATGCACATAAATAATGTGATCAACTTTGCTCCTTGGTAACTCCCCTTAGCCTCCCTTCCTCTCTTGTCCTGAACCCCTTATTCTACTCTAATGAGCTCTCATCTACTTGGAAGACACCCCAGCTTTCTTCCCCACTAGTTTCTACGTATAAGAAAAACATACAACACTTGTCTTTGAGTCTAGCTTTCTTYACTTAATGTGATACTCTCCAGTTCTACCCATTTTCCTGAAGATGACAGCATTTCATTCTTCTTGTGGTTGAATGAACTCTACGCTGTATATGTACCTCTTTTCTTTATCCACTTACCTGTTGATTGGCACCTGGGCGGGTTCTGTAATTTGTGCTGTGATAAACATGCCCATTCCTATTTCTAAAAAGGCAGGAGTCCTGTCCCCAATGCAGACAACCATACACATGTCATTGCCTAGCATACACTGCCTGGCACAGGTAGGTGCTTCGTAGAGAATCCTGAGCTCCGTGGATGCGAGGGACAACCATACTCCAGCGATCAGCTGCTTAGCTCTGCTGCTCTCTGTGAGGCTTCTCACTGTGCCGTGTGAGCCGTCTCAGCTCCTCACTGTGAGCTCAGGAGGGCAGGGATGAAGGGAAGTTCATTTTTGTAGCTGGAGTGCGTAACACAATGCCATACTCACACTTAGCACCTGTTCAAGGCACAGTGACCTGGAGACCCTTGCTCATCCATCCCTGTAGAGTTGCTGGGAGAGCCAAGAGGAGGTTACATGATAAGTGTACATGAAATGTTAAAGATGTAATATTCATAACGATAACTCTAGTCTCCAGCCATTCCTCTCACACCTAACCATCACAGCCCTCGGTTGGAGTGTACAGAACTCTTGATGCAGCACCTGTTTCTAGAAGGGGTATCTGCTCTCAGCTTCTAACTCAGAGAAATCACAGGGAATGTGCATCAAGTAGCCAACTTTTATTATGGGATCAAGGTCTGGCAGCTTGTAGGATGTTATCCACCTACAGGAGCAATGGCTTCTTAGGGTGATGATACAGGGGCTGGGGTCAATGCCCACTCCCATGGGAGGCACATGGTGCTGTAATGCATAATCCTGGGAGGTTTTCCTGAACAAGAACCGGATGAGACTGATGAAGAGGATCAGGGGAAAATAGCTCTCCATGTGAGCCTCCAGGCAACCTCAGCTCAGGGCTCTGTGCCCTCAGGTCTCTYTGGAAGCTGCACTTGGCTGGAGGCAAGCTCGGGAGTGCTGGCTTTCCTGACGGGTCCCTCCACCCCCCACAGTTGAGGCTGATCCCTATGTCTGGCAGGTGACTGGTGTAATGCGTAGCATAATGAAGTGTTTCATTGGTTCTAGCATGAGGTCTGTGACAGTCTTCAAAAGGTCAAAGGACCAGCATTTTGCTTAAGTTTGTGTTTTCTAAGAAGAGGGTCTGTAGCTTTTCTTGGATTATAGAGCTTCTGGTCTGAGCCAAGAAACTAAGAAGACTCCAGTGTTCCTCCTCCACCTAATGCTGGACAACAGTTTGTTATTGTGCAAGAAGTTTAGTGTCTCTGGCCCACACTCCTTAAATGTCTGTAATAGCTCAGTTTTAGTCAGATTTTTTTTTATAGCTGTGACCAAAAGACCCCACAAGAATAATTTAGAGGATAAGAGTTTATTTGTGGTTCATGGTTTCAGAGGTCTCCATGTATAGACGGCCAACTCCATTGCTCTGGGCCTGAGGCAGAGCAGAACATCATGGCAGCAGGAAGTGGAGGAGGAAAGCAGCCCAGGACCAGGCAATCAGGAAGCAGAGAGAGCTCTGCTCACCAGGGACAGAATATAATCAGGCAGGCACACCCCACCTGCCTGCATCACCACCCAGTTAATCCCTATGAGTAGATTAATGCACAGATCAGGCTATAGCTCTCATAATCCAATCAACTCACCTCTGAACCTTCTTGGATTGTTTCAGACCTGAGCTTTTGGGGGTCATCTCACATCTAAACCATAACAAGCTCCAAGTTATGCAGATCAGTCCTCCCCCCAAACACCTAGATGGCAGGCACACAGAAGAGTTGAGGAGGCAAGACCGCTCACTCCCTTCCTCTCTCTTCTTCCCCTGGAGGGAAGCAACACTTCTCCACTTCTGACATCTGATTTTCAGTCGTTTCCCTGTCAAGAAATAGCCTGCTGCCCTTAGGAGGGCTTCTGATATTCTGCCATAGGGTTGCCATAGTGCTGTTAGAGGAAGGGACCTATAGGGAGTGTTTAGAGGACTACATTTTATTATGGGATTTTGGCAATTGCTATTACAACAGAGCAAGTCTCCTGTACTTTCCCCATTCTCCCTGAGAGCCTCAGCTCTAAAATCAAACCATCCCTTGGGAGACATTTTTCTGGTGTGAAATTAAAATGCTTCATCGAGAGTCAAAAACGGCAACTCCTCGGATAGCATCTTCTTAGAGTCTTCTCCTAGGCTAGCCATTCGTTTATTACTTCTGGAAGGACTAACACAGAGATGTTAGTGGGAAAAGAATATCTTCAAGATCAAATTAAAAAGCAAAAAGAGGATGGCCATTGAGAAGATTTTTTTTTATTATTATGGTAAATCACTCTCACATCTAACCTTGCAGCACCTTCTAAAACAGACTTCCCAATCTCCTCTTCTGTAGATGAGGACTCCGGGTCTTCTAGGAATTAACTGGCGTCCCTGAGGGGCAGGGCACTTAGAAGGACCGCTGATGTCAACTCTGAGCCTTTTCTACCTCCAAACGCTACCCTCTAGCTCTGTCCCGCGGCCCAGAAGGCTCTGGCTCAAGACCTTTTTTTTTTTTTTTTTTTATAAAAGGAAGACATTTCCTGGAACTAATCGGAGGGCGAGGCTGGAAGTACCAATGAGCTGAAGCCGAGTCTTTTATTCTACCACCTGAGCGCTGGGAAGCTCAGAAGGGCATGACAGCCTCCTTCCAACTCCCAGCCGACTGAGAAATTGAAAGCAGACGCTAATGACGTCGATTTGTAACTTCGTGCCTTTTAAAATCGACGGGCTCTTTAAAGTGCTGCTTTAGATTAGAGGTGGCTATTGGATAAGGCGGGGAAAGAGCCGCTCTGCTGAATGTTATTATAAAAGCCCACACTGGGTTGGTTCCAGAAAAGCGACGCGCAGGAACAACTTCTCCAACTGTGTTTTCATTACGCAGTGAAGAAAGTTCTGACACTGAGCTCCAATCCGAGGACAAGCTGACAATGTCGCAGCATCCCAGAGACGAGCGAGGACTGCTAGGAAGTCCTTTAAGTTGAAGACAGACGTGCATGCGGAAAGTTTCCAGGACCCAAACCCTTCGCTATTTTATTTTTAAGACGAGGTCCGGGCGCGCCCTAGCAGCTGTCCACCCAGGAGGAGGGGCGACGGCGAGGGCGAAGGCGCAGGCCGAGTTCTCTCTTATTAATATTAAACAGCCGGGTCTATCCTTGAAGCAAGTGGGGAAAGGAGGCGAGCGCTCCTGACATTGACAGTGAGTCCAAACAGGAGTTGCGCTGGCGGTGTCCACCACGTGGCCTCCCGCCGGGCCTTCTGGGAGCTGTAGTTTTCCGGGGAGCCGCGGCCGGGGCGAGCTGGGGTGCCCCGCGCCGGCGGACTACAGGTCCCAGGCGCCCGGGCCGGGAGCGCGGACTCGGCCGGGCGGGCCCGCGGCGCTGCGCGGGGCGCGCGGCGGGACCCGGCCACCACCTCCCTGGGCGCCCCGCTTTGCCCTCGATCGGAGCGGCGCGGGGCCGCGAAGCCGGAGCCATGCAGTCGGAATCGGGGATCGTGCCGGATTTCGAAGTCGGGGAGGAGTTTCACGAAGAGCCCAAAACCTACTACGAACTCAAAAGTCAGCCCCTGAAGAGCAGGTGAGGGTGACAGCTGGACGGGGCGCGGTGGCGGCCGGGGCCGCGCCTCCACCCGGGGCGAGGAGGGCTGGCTCCCGCGTTTGGGACAAGGACCCCGTGCCCTTGCGCGGTCTGCCCCGCGGGCTGCGGGCGCTGCGGGCGGCGCACATTCGGAGTGGGAGGGAGCGCCCGGGGCCGGGCCGCTGTCGGGGCGCGGGGACCCTGCGTGGAGGTGCGCGGCGGGGACTGGTGGGGGCTGGGGAGCGCCCGGCGCCGGGTGGGGGAGGAGCGCCGGCTGGATCGCTGGCCAGGTGCGATGGGGACAGTTTTGACTGCGCCACTTTTCTCGAGATCCCCATGGGATCRGAGAGGGAAAGCTGGGTTGGCCGGTGAGCGACGTTCCACGGAGGCCATCAGCTCGCCTGCAGCCTCCTCTGAGAAGTCCTGCCCCTTTGGGAACACCGGCCTCCGGCGGACTCCAGGTGCGGTCCCCGCCCGCCGCTCACCTGCTGTCGCCGCACGCGCGGGCGGGAGGGGCGGGGCGTGTCCCCCGGCCAGGTGAAGCTGGGGCCGGGCCCGCCGACCGGTCTCCTGGGGGGCGGGCCGCTGCGCGGTGGGGGGCGTTTACCCGAGCGGGTTCCACTTGGCCGCCGCGAGTGGTTTTTTGGCTGAGGACTTCCGAAACTTCGGGAGAGGCGCGAAGCCGCTCCCCATCCGGCCCACCCCCCAGCGCCCACCCCTGGCTGCCTCGGTCCGCACAGTCTGGCGGAGTTGGCGGGGCTTCTTCCGTTCTCTCCCCGCTTCTCGTTTCGAGTGTTCCCTAGGAGCTGGTGATCACTTGAGGCTGTGACAGCGAACGGTTTATTTCTAGCCCTCTCCGTTGTGGGATAGATAAGGCTGTGACTGCGAGCCATCAGGTCACAGTACGGCACCCTCTGAGTCTGCCCTGCCCCTGGCGGTGACTGGGGCCTGGGTGAGGGGGCCCAGATGACAGGGGCAATGAAGGGCAGTGGAGTCAGCGTGAGGTGGACCAAGGCTGCTTCAGGAGAGAGCCTCATGGAGAGGGGAGCCAGGTGCCATTCCCTCAGGGGGTGGCAGGACAGTCCACTTAGGGGAAGGGGATTTGGAGGACGGGCAGCTGCCCTTGCAGAGACAGCCTGCTTGCAGATGCTTAATGCAAATTGGAAGGAGGTCTCCTGTGCAGTTAGAGGCATGAAGCAGCCTTCAGTTGGTGGATTCTCTGCATAATGGCTATTTTGTGTGGGAGCTTAGATTGTGTGTGTTGGGGGCTGGGGGCTTTGCATAATATTGTGTAAGGGGTATTGTTGGTCATTCTCATTGGGGCTTTATCTGCATTCGCTGAAGGGACCAGTGTTTTACTGAGCGGTCATGCTTACATGGCCAGATTGAGGGAGCGGGCGTGTGTGAGTCCTGAAAGACAGGAATTGGCCGGACTGTTGGGAACATTTTTGATGGTAGCTGATACATAACATTAAATAAGTTCGAGGGAGTAAGGAAAATACCATCTGGAAAAACCCAGATGAGTGCCTGTAATGCTCCCGTTTAAGAATTTGGGCCTGTTCTTTCTTAGAGTCAGCAAAAATTCCTTGCCAGGGTGCACATTCTTGGTAGCTGGCTACCCTGCACGCGTGAGGAGAGGTTCGGGGACGTGGGAAGTAGTGGATTCGCACATCACTGATGGAAACAGGTGTGGGACACAACGGTATGGAGAAGGAGGACTAAATTAAAAAGGTTGTTGGAAAACTTGTCTGGGGAGCAGACACATGCTTCTAAATAAGCCGGTTAAATAAAATCTGTGAATAAATGCGTGGAGTTGGCCGCCTTTCCCAGCACCGTCTCCGCATCTGTTGCGCGACTGGAACACCTACGCGTTCTGCTGGGCCCTCCCTTGCTCTTTGCCTTACCTCTTTGCTGGGGCACCTGGCTGCTTCTGTGTCCTGGCTGGACAAGCTACAGTTCGAGGGTTAAGACTGCTGTGGCTGGATCACCTGCCCATCGTTCTCCAGATGGTCCCTTGGAGTTGACGATCAGTCTAGAATCTGTCCAACAGGTGGAACCACCGGCATCAGCCCTGCCTGGGTCACTGCAGAGGTCGGTCAGGTCGCCTGCCTTCCGTGTTACACTTTCAATGATTTTTTTTTTTTTAGCAGTCACAATGTCACTGTTAAAACCAATTTTCAACCAGGGATGAGTCTAACCCCTACCTCCAGGGAGCAGTTGTTGGCCTCTGGAGACATCTGGGATGGTCACAGTGGAAGGGGGTTGTTATTGGCCTTTAGCAGGCAGGGGTGGCACTGCTGTTATCCATTCTGTGTGCACAGGACGGCCCTCCCACAAGGACATATCATCTGGCCCCCAAATGTGGATAAAGCTGAGGTGGAGAAATCCTGGGTCCAAACTCAAGTCTGACCTTGTCATTCTCTGCTCAAAACCTGCCACCATGGTTCCTAGATTTTCTCAGGAAACTCAAAGTCTTTAAAATGCCATAGGGTGGCCTACATGGTCAGGCTGCCTGTCCACCCTGACCTTCTGTCTTGCTGCTCTCTTGGGGCTCCTCATGTTCCACCATTCTGGCCTGCAGGCTCTTCCTGGGGCACTCCAGGGCCTTCCTATATCATGCTTGCCTCTGCCTGGACGGTCTTTGCCCAAGCCTGACTCCCCCCAGCCTCCAGAAACCCCCACGCTCCCCTCACACTGAGGGTGTGGCCTTCTGGGCCCACGGAGCTCACAATGCCATCCCTCTCAACTCAGTCTCCCCGCCCTGTGTTTTTTCCATCTACTTGTAACCTACTGTATAATTTTCCAATAAGTAATGTTTATTATTTGTCTCCACGCTAGACCGCAAGCTTCAAGGAGCAGGATTTCTCTCTTCCTGTCTGATTGTTGGGTTTTCTCAGGGCCCAGAATGGTTTCTAGGGCTCAGTGCTCTTGATATTTTGGGCCCAATCACTCTTTTGTGGTGAGGGCTGTCCTGTGGACTGCTTGGCGCTCAGTGACATCTTTGGCTTCCTACTGCCGGAGGCCAGCAGTGCCTCCTCCGCCAGATGTGACAACCAAAAATGACTGCAGAGTGGCCCACGGTGGGCAAAGTCACCTCCACTTCAGAACTGCTGATACAGGCTAATACCTGGCCATGAATATTGTTGAGTGTATGTGGCCTTCCTTGGTATCCCCCTTGGGGCAAGGTATTTGGTTTCTGTTTTTGCATTCAACAGGGTGTTCTTTTTAAAAAAAGATGCCACCAAAGCATGCTCCAAAGAGGAACTTCTGTGTTCTTCCCTGAGGCTAAGTGAAGATATTCTCATCTGTCAAGAGGAGAGACACAGATCATTCCTAATTCAGACCTCCTTGAATTTAGAAATGAGAGGTTGTTGGGTTTAGGTTCTCAGAAGCCCCTTTGAGTCACSTGAATTGGCCGTGCTGAGCTGGAGGGAGATGCTTACTCTGAGGAAGGTGCTAGAGAAGATCTTTTGCACTTTGGTTCCTCTCACAAGGCAGAGGAGAAATGTCAGAGTGAACCCAGAATTCCTACACTGGCCTAGTCATGCCAGGGACACAACCGTGGGGCCACGGTTGAGCTCCCACAAGCAAGAGAACTCTGGGTCTTTGGATGGAAGAACATCTTCAGATGTGCAGCCTCGTCTCCGGGCCCCTCAGCTTGATTTTCCTGGTGCAGAGGTCTGTGGCTTTGTAATGGCTAATGCCCTCTTCCTGGGCAGGCTTCAGAATTGGCTTAGTCAAATTCCAGCTTCTTCTTGAGTTGGCAGTACTGTTTTAAACAGCTGTTAATGAACTTCCTGCAAATTAAAGCAAGTGCGTGTTGGGTTGGTGCTGCCAGGACAGGGTACAGCAGTGGTCCCCAGGTGCTGATTCACAGAGCAGTAGGTGCTGTTTGCATGAGGGACAGGTCACAGACATACTTGGGCAGAAGTCCAGTACCCTTCATTGGGTTAATGCTGAGGTTTCCCTTTCTGAGTTCACATTAAAAGGGCCCTTTTATGAAATAATGATCCAGTCTTGGAAAAACACAACTTCACTTTCAGTCTTTTATTGGTTGCTGAAAGTTTTCTTGATTTTTTTTTTTCTGGTCTGCCCATCTGCAGGGAACTGTCATCAGGGAGATCAGAAGCTGAGTTCCGGCTGTCTCTGCCTGTCCAGTCAGGCAGGGGGGTGACCTTTAATCTCAGCATCCTCATCTGGCAAATGGGGGTCTGCTTCTTCAGCGATCTTGAGAGCAATACTATGACTTTCACAATTTGGGGAAATTTTACCTACCCAGGTGCCCGGCACATAGTCAGTACTCAGAAAACGTTAGCAGATGTGTGTGTGTGTGTGTGTGTGTGTGTGTGTGTGTGTGTGTGTGTGTGTTTAATTACTTAGTGATCTCCGATATTCTGGACTGTGTTTGTTTTGGTTGACTGTGGCTAGCTTCTCTAAGGGCAGTGTGGTTATACAATAAAATCCCCTCAATTTCAGCAAATTTATGTTTTTGCTTTCCTTCTAATGAAGTTTTCAGATCATTGTTTTTTTCACATTTTATGATTTTGACCCAGTCCATAACAATTTCTTTATGCTGGTTAAAAAGAAAAAAAGAAAACCTGACAATTATGATATCAACACACAATTCATATTCAGCACAACTTTTCAAGTCCTAGCTCATGGAAATTAATACAAATAACGATGACTAACATTTATTTAGTAGGCTTTGTGTGCCAGGCCCTGTTCTGTTTTTAATTACATAAAACATATTTAGTGTTTGCAAAACTTGCATGAGGTGCTAATAGGAAACAAAAACAACAAGGGTACTAATTTTAATTTTAGAAGTGGGTAACACTTACCTGGCACTCACCACGTGCCGGGCATTATTCTGAGTATTTGACTGGTTTAAGTATTGTTCAGTTAATTCTCACTTTTGGGCATGTCTTTTGGTCACCCTTATTAAGCTCACTGAGAGAGGAACCGAGGTTCCAAGTTCTTGGACCAAGTTGGAACTGAGGCGG